ATTTAGAGTCTTATAGGAAATCTACCACTAAAAGCTCCTATACAATAGACTAGATTAACCAATTAAATAACAGCTACAAACATATAAACTATATAGTATAACACAACTATATATTTATTACTAACACACCCCCTCAAACACAAGGTTGGAGGGCGACAACATTGAGTTTGTCTCGTAGAGTCTGAAAACGCGGAGCCGGAAGAGGTTTGGTGAAGATGTCTGCCGGCTGATCCTTTGTTGAGACAAAGTTAACAATGAAATCCCCAGATGCGACCTTGTCCCGGACGAAGTGGTAATTGATTTCAACATGTTTCGTACGGGCGTGAAAAACTGGATTAGCCGCTAGATAAGTTGCGCCTAAATTATCGCACCAAAGCGTAGCCGGGGCGCCGGAGTGTAGCCCTAATTCATGCAGTAAGGAGATAACCCATGTAACCTCGGCAGAAACATCAGCGAGCCCTTTGTATTCGGCTTCAGTGGAGGACCTGGCCACGGTGCGTTGCTTGCGGGAGACCCATGAAACAAGATTGTCCCCGAGAAACACGGCGTAGCCACTGGTGGACTTGCGATCTACAGGACATCCAGCTCAGTCAAAATCCGTGAAAGCATGAAGATCGGAGGACAGTGATGGAGTCAGTCGGAGCCCGTAGTCCTGAGTCCCCTTGATATACCGTAGAACCCGCTTCAACAGTGCCAGTGATCATGAGTGGGAGAGTGCATGAACTGACACAATCTGTTAACGGAGTAGGAGAGATCAGGCCGAGTGATAGTCAGGTACTGTAGAGCCCTCACGATCCGACGGTACTGTGTCGGATTATTGAAGGGATCAAAAGAGGGTGTTGCAGGTTGTGTGACTGCAGCCGGGGTGGTTGCCAGGGCTTTACAGTCTTTCATTCCTGAACTAGTGAGAATGTCCTTCATGTACCATCGCTGAGAAAGGATGTGCCCATTAGAATATGACACCGTCTCAATCCCCAGGAAGAAGTTGGGCGTGCCCAGATCCGTAATCTTGAAAGTCACTGACAGCTGACGAAGGAGAGCCTCAATCAACACAGAGTCGTTGCCCATCATGATGATGTCGTCGACATAGACCAATAAGTACACCCGAGAGTCACCTGCTATATAATAAAAGAGTGAGACATCGGTTTTGGATGCCAGAAAACCAGTGGATGTCAAGAACTCGTGCAAGCGATTGAACTAGGACCGAGGTGCCTGTTTGAGCCCATAGAGAGAGCGCTGGAGGTGACAAACATGCCCTGGGTGTGTGGGATCCTCATAACCTGGGGGTTGCTTCATATATACTGTTTCAGATAGGTGCCCATTTAAAAAGGCGTTGTGGACATCTAGTTGTCGCAGAACCCACTTGTGTGACACTGCAAGAGAAAATAGAATGCGAACCGTAGTCGGTTTGACTACGGGACTAAAGGTGTCAAAGAAATCTTCTCCGGCCACCTGATTGAACCCCTTTTCCACTAGACGGGCTTTGTAGCGCTCAACGGTCCCATCGGCCTTGCGCTTGGTGCGGAAGACCCATTTGCACCCAATAATGTTCATATTAGGAGTAGCTGGTATGAGTTGCTATGTGTTGTTATGCATGAGGGCATTAAACTCCTGATCCATGGCGTCCCGCCACTGCGGGTGGCCTACGGCCTAGGAGTAACAAGTGGGGTCCACAGTGGTGTTAAGAGCGAAGAAATGTTCGCTTGTACCCTGATTTTTGTGCCTGGTGCGCATGACATGCCCCTTCCGTCTGTGGCTGGGCGCGTGAAGCTACAGCCGCGGGTGGTCCCTCAACAGCCATAGGTAATGGCTGCTGTGCAAGTGGCGTTTCATCCAGAACAGGAGGGTTGCCGGTTTGGACTACCACAGGCATAGCTCCCCAGGGTGCAGGAGCGGGCTTCGTACTGGAGTCAATCCGCAAAGGAGTCTGCAAAGAAAACGGAAAGATCGACTCATCAAATTGCACAAGGCGACAGATAAATATCTTCCCTGTAGTTAGGCCCATACAACGGTATACCCTAAATGAAACTGGGTAACCTAGGAAGACACAGGGTGTAGAGCGGTACTCTATCTTGTGCCGATTGTAAGGACTAAGATAAGGGTAGCACCTACACCCAAAGACACGAAAGAAGGTGTATTGCGGGGGTGTTTTGTGTAGACGGAAATGAGGACTTTGGTAAGAGATAGCTGATGAAGGTAAGCAATTAATTAATTGAGTTGCTGTTTCAAAAGCATAATCCCAATATTTTAGAGGGGCTGAGCTCTCGGCTAATAGGGCCAAACCAGTTTCGACAATATGTGTATTCCGGCGTTCAACTCGCCCGTTCTGTTCGTGGGTATAGGCACACGATCGTCTGTGTGTAATGCCTAGAGATTCAAATATTTTGTGAAGGCGACAATACTCGCCACCTAGATCGACTGAATGGCTTTGATAGAACGGGAAAACCACCGTTCTACCATCACCCGAAACAATTCAAAGACTTTATATATTTCTGATTTTAACCGTAAGGGATAAAACTAGCAAAACCGTGTACAATCATCTACGAATAACACAAAATAGCAGTTGCCAAAATCTGAAAGAACAGGGGACGGACCCCAGATATCCGTATACAACAAATCTAAAATATTTAAACTTGAAGTAGAAACTCTATCTAGTGGGACTGAGCCGACTTGCCAAGTTGACACGCCGAACAGACTTCTGACGCACATGCTTTATTTAACGTGACCAGACAGTGTTTTAGGACTCGTTGAAGGGCTTGCTTATGAAGGTGTCCCAATCGTTGATGCCAAATTGAGGGCGAAGCTTTTGCCGTGAAATACGCAAAATGCGACCGCGACACCAACAATTTATATAAACTGCCTACCGTGGAACCTTTAAGAAGAACTACCCGAGTAGTGCAATCCTTCACAAAAAAAAAAAGAATCCTTATGAAACTCAAAAAAGACATCGTTCTCGTTAGTAAAACGATAAACCGATAAAAGAGATAATGATAGGTTCGGAACAAGTAATATATTGGACACATTTAATAATTTAAAACTAGATGGGATAACAGTATGACCAACTCGGGAGATATTCAAACCTACGCCACTGCCCACTTTTAGGACGTCGCTGCCGGTATAGGTCTCGGACTGCCCGACCAACTGCTCGTCCGGTGAGGCATGCGTGGAAGCGCCGGTATCGGGGAACCAAGCATCAGCCTGTATGTCCACCGGCGAACCACCTGCGACGGCCACGTTTGCATGCAGAGCCGGTTCCGAGTACCTCTTGAAGCAGTACACAACAGTATGCCCATGGCTTCTGCAGATCTGACAGTGCGGGTTGCCTCGTCCACGACCGCCGCCGGACTGCCGCCCTCTTCCGCGACCTCGATGGTTGGAGGATTATCGGCCGCCATGTCCAGAACCACCACTGGACTGTCTGCCGCGCCCGGCGTATAGCGCCATCGGAGAATGGGTGGATCCGGTGTGATCCATCTGCGGGAATTCGTCAGCCTGAATGAAGTCTTGCGCCTGCAGAAGATCGCCAAGCTGGGAGAGGGTGACTGGAGTTCCGGTCACCGTGAGGGCATTGGCCATCGCCCGAAATTCCGACCGGAGGCCCCGTAGCACATACAACACATGCTCGTCGAGGGAGAGAGGGTGGTCGGCGAGAGACAATGCCTCAACAAGCATCTTCGCCTTCCCGAGATACTCCGAGGCCGAGCTGTTGCCTTGCTGGAGAGTCTGGAATTGACCAAGCAAATTGAGACACCGGGCTCTCGTGGATGATGCCAGTGTCTCGTTGATGGAGAGCCATATGTCGCGAGAAGTTTCCCGGCCAACAGCGAGTGGCATAACCTCGTCGGAGAGTGACGAGATCAGGAGAGACAGGATCGATTGATCCTGTTTAATCCAGGCGGCGTGTGCCGGATTCTCGACCGTCGAACCAGCAGCGGTGGCGCCGGAGTCAGCTGGTTGCGTCGCCGCAGGGATTGTCGCCGGAGGACAGGGAGAGCCACCGTCGATGAAGCCTAGTAATCCCTGCCCATGCAAGAATGGTATTATCTGGGTACGCCAGAAGAGAAAATTTCGGTTGGTTAATTTTATTGAGACATAGTGATGCGCAACATTCAAGGAATTTGTGGTGGTTTGAGTAAGGACTGTGGTGGTTATCACTGTACGTTCAGAGGAATTTGTTGACATGGTAGGGAGAAGGAGAAAATTTTGGATAAGATAACAAGCCTAACGCTAACTGATAACAGATGAGCGGATGAATAACAATTCTCATTGAATCAGGAAAGAGATTACAAACTTAGAGTCCTATAGGAAAGCTACCACTAAAAGCTCCTATACAATAGACTAGATTAGCCAATTAAATAACAGCCACAAACATATAAACTATATAGTATAACACAACTATATATTATTACTAACACTAGCAAAGCTGTTTCGTGTACTAGCAAAGCTGAATCTGATGGCTATCATACTTGGCTAACTTCAGTCTTTTATCCAAGTTAGAAGCATAATTCCCAAAAATATCACCTTGCTATGCATCTTGTTGATGTAGACTAATAGCTGCCACAGTGCTGGCTAGTGCAATTCTAGCATGTTATAGTGTCAATGCTCAATTATGACAATACTTTCCAGCAATTAACTTGTTCTGCAATTCTGTATTCTCTTGACAAATGAGATTTAGGTTCTTACAGCAATTAACTTGTTCTGCAATTCTGTATTCTCTTGACAAATGAGATTTAGGTTCTTACAGAGTTCTATGTTTTCTTGATGAACAAGACTTTCCTGCATTGGACAAGAGTCTTATATTCAGCATAAGCATAAGTACAATGTAGAATGGATCATTCCAGTATCTATCCAACAACACCTTTTGGTTTCCTTGATCTCATCAGCCAAAATTTGCTCCTACAAGAAACAAGGATTTGTTTAGGATTGTTCATTAAATTGATGAAATTAGATATCTGCCAAGTAGACAAGTACTTTACCTTTCTCGTTCAAATACCTTTCAGGCTCACTTCAAGTTGATTCTCCAGATTTGTCAGATCTTTTATGCTTAGTCCAGAAAGTTCTTTTCCCAAAAGCTGTCTGCATTTATGTGAAACAAAGAACTGGTATGCTTTTTGTCTTTTGCTTTTTCTTCATTTAGCTTTCACCTTATCTTGAACACTTTTAGACAAAACTATCTTATGCATTTTCTAAAAACTGCCCTTAACATTGCATGGAAGCAACACATTCCTGTAAAATTTGGGATATCTTTTCTGATATTGTTCAGAATTCAAAGTGTTCTATCTGTTACTCTGTTATATCTTCAGATTATGCTTCCTCAAAACTGAACTGTTGCATCAATCTTAGATGGCTCAAATAGACGGTAGGATGAACTTTAGGAAAACGAACGTGTGTTTTGTTAAGTATTTATCAGCTAAACAAGAGTCTCCTACACATGAACAAGAAAATGATTCTACAGAAGATCAAAGTAATGTCAAAGAATTTGTTGATATAACTCCAATTCGGCATTCAGCGAGGACAGCTAAAAAACATTCAAGTATTTTCTTAACGTATTTCCACGTTTACTATTTCTTGGATTGATCGTATAATGATGTTGCTTGTAACTTTTAATGCCAGCAATCCATTGTGGTTTTTTTCAAATGATATGAAAGTGAACAGAATTAATGGGACGACGCCCGGTCAGCGAATAATGCTGGTAACCCATCAATACGCGTCAATAGCATATATATAGATAGTTTAATACAAAATCATTTTCGAAACGGAATATAGTATATATTAGTTTAAAATCATCAAGAGAGAAGTCGACTGCAAAGACTCTATTCCACTCTCAAATCAGACACGGGAATCAACATCCCAAGACAACATCAAGACACGAGCAACAACGGAACACTCAACACGCATAAGATGTAATCTACTGATCACAAAGCAGAAAACATCAAGGCAAAGACAACAACAACAACAAGTACAACTCGAGGTGTATTCTACTGATCACAAAGTAGAATACCACTCAACATGCTCATCAGAAAATATTGGCAAGCACACATTGGCAACACATGCCACCGTGACACTACATGTCACATGTTCCAACCTTATGCCCTGTTCTAACCTTATGCCTACCCCTGCCTTATTACAGTTCCAACCGTTACCTCTGAGAATCCCCTGTACTTCTGAGTCCAACCTTATGCCTCTGGAAACCGTCATTCTACCGCCAACAACCGCAAACATTTCCTCCAACAAGTGGTATACGAGGGTACCATTCATTTCAATCACACAACCGCCAACAAGTGAGCCTGAAGCCCATAAAACAACTCTATAATATCATTTCAAGGCCACCACGAGGACCACTTCTGTACCTTGGTAATTAATGTCCCATTCCATTAATCGTGCAATCCAGGTATAGACAACACACACCTCATCATAGGAATCAATCAACGGATCACAACGAAGATATGAAACCATACTCAATCAAGGAAGGATTACAATCCGTCAACAACGATGATCAACACAAGTTATCATCCACATTAGGAAAGAACAAACCACACACGCTAGCATTTCAATATCAAACTAGCATGCTTAGCAAATGGGTAAACCAAAGATAGTTCTGAAGAACACACAAGACTCATCATGGTTTAACGAATCACAAGGATGAACACTTAGCACGATTCAAGACACCAAAACCTACATGAATTCCTACCATTACGTTCAAGACATACGAAACATCAAGAAGACACTCAAATAGCCCAAAAAAGAACATCGGGAAGTCAAAACATCAATTACCGAGCCAAAAGAATCACGGGGAACAAATCCCCAACAACTAACATCATGTACCCGCGGGTGGGGCCACGGGTGGACCCCCACCCGTGGTTCCGCCCGCAGGAACCACTCCCCACGAGAAGGATGAGCTTTTGTTTTGAGAGTGTTAGGGAAAGAATGAAAGATGACTCTAGGTTAGCTTGGGATACAATCATGAGGTGAAATGTCTTCATTACCCTTACTAAGATGGAAAAGTGTAAGGGGACAAGGGAAATATTCACAAAGCTTTAAGTACAACTCATTGACTTGGGTTGACTAGTCAATTACTAGTCCCCGACTATTGAATTTTCAGGATTTTAGGAATAAATTATCAATTAAGCTAGGATTAATTACTTAATTAATCCTCAAATAGAATTTGGATTCACTGGGTGTCTCATCCTCTCCCCCTTAAAAGAAGCTTCGTCCCCGAAGCTTGGGTACGACGAATTCAAACAAAACGGCAACATGAAACAACAATTTGACAAGAGAGTCAAGAACATCTTTTGACCAAAACTTCAAGAATTCAAAAAGGTGTAAAATGGTCAAGAAGTCAAGACATTGCAAGATTTTAAAAGATCACAAGAGAAATTCCTTGAGCAATATAATGCTAAGGCTAAAACACGACAACTAAAAGCCTTCTAAACCACGCCTAAACTCAAACAACTGAATTCTAACTTGGCAAAACAACTATACCAACTACCCAAACAACAAACTAACCACCAAGGTAAACAAGAGAAAACAACTAAGCACAGCCAACCAACAACAACTACTAAACAGCAACAACAAACGAGAGAAGAAACAAGCTAGCACAACAACATGATCGGCTTGCGAAACGGGTGACAAAGCTTAAGAGGTAGGTTGCAAAGGAGGTTTTAGACAATAAAGGTGTTCGCCACTAACCAAGGTTAGAGGAACCAAGGGTTCAAATTAAGGTGGTAAGATTGATAGGCTTGGACACAACGAATTTCAACTCCGAAACCATCGGTTAAAAAAACGAATGACAAGGCTTAGAAATAAGCTGAGATTTCACAAAGGTAAGGCAAGAAAGAAGATAAGGTGATAGATAGAAGATTTACCGGAAAGGAAAACTAATTCTACCTTAAGCTTAACTCCCTGCTTAAAGCTAGCCACCGATCTACCCAAAACTAATGTCCCAACTAAGGAACAAGCTACAACCAAAACTGGCACCACAAGAACCCTAAGCTAGATCACACGGGATCAAAGAACCAAGATAGCGTCTTCAACTGTTCTCCGCTGACTTCTTCAACCAAGGAAGCAAGGTACTCACACTACACAACTTGAGCTCGGCATCCGCTTGAACTTGATTCGTCACTTCCAGACAAAGGCTGCAATTGCCAGCTCCAAAACACGAGCATGATTTCCTTCTTCCTAGCTCTTGGCTATCTTGATGCAGGCTGCTAACTTAACACTTGCATAAACACACAACCCCCAACTCACCGCAAGGAAACGCTTGAAAACTTCAAAACTTCGGTTCGGATGAAAGGTCCAAAGCAGGAATGGTAACAACGGAGAAAGGTAACTCAGGGAGAAGAGGGCTTACAAGAAGAGATTCGATTCAACGGAAAAGATTAGAGTGAAGGGTTTTAAGGTTTGAAAACTCGAAGATCACATTGGTTAAGAAGAGAAGAAAGGTAAACAGGGCTACAACTTAGGAAGTAAGTAACCAAGCGAGGGTTAAGAGAGTTTGAAAAGGATTTCCACACGGAGGGTATCCGGTTTAAGCTCAAGAATAGCGCTGATTAGGAAGGGAATCAAGATTTTCAAAGTCACAACTTAGGAAAGATGAGGTTGTAACCTTGAGCAGAGTCAAATCAAGAAGAAAACAAGAACGGGATTTGAAAAGATAGGAAGGATTTCTCGAGAAGGGGCAAGGGATTTGACGAGGGCAAGAGAGGAAGATCTGCTTCAAGAGAAGAAAGGGTTCTCGACTTCCGGCGAAGCTCCGGCTTGGCGCTGATCACTAAGCTTGTCGAATTGAAGGCTTTCTACCACGACTCAGACGCGGCTTAACTCTTAGACCTTGCCAGATTTCTTCATAAGCTGATGACACCGCCGTCTTGCACAAGGTGATTTGGAAAGAAAACAAGAACAAGGTTCGGAAGAAAAAGTTCACTTGGCAAAAAGGTTGATTGGATTTGTTTAGGGGAAAGAAAAGATTAAGGAGGGTCAAGGGTGACTCTTGAACTGGCTAACGCCCGAAGCTAACACACAAGGAAGGAAACATAGACAAAGGGAGGTGCAACAAAAGGGTACAAGAACTTACTTCAACGGTTCCCACTTGAATCAACCTCACGATTGTGGATCTTGCCTTGCCGAGGTCCCCACTTCGTACACAGGCCGTGGATGCTACTCCCACTGAGTCCATTGTTGCTTCCACTTCGGTGCTTGCTTCCCGACCGGGGTCTCACACTACCAACTGGTTTTGAGCCCGCTGAAGTCTTCCTCTTAGTCCTGCACTCAAAGGACCGATGACCCTTCTTGCCACAAGCAAAGCACTCTATCGGTTTCCCTAGGCAGTCTACGCCGGGGTGGTCACTTCCACACTTCTTGGAAACGGAGCGCCTTCCCTTAGCCTTGTTGTTCCGGGTTGGTTGGGGAGCCTTACCTCTCCTAGAGCCGTTTCTTGGTAGACTTCTTGATGGTTCGGCACCGGTAGCCATCACACTCCTAACCACAGATGTAACACTTCCTTCAAGCTTCCTCTTACGGTTCTCTTGGATTCCTTTCTGAACTTGCTGTACCCGGTAGAGGTCAACTGCACAAAGGTATGCCTCCTTGACTTGAGCAGGATAGAACCGCTCACATAACTTAACCTTCAGGTTTTCCCAACTGAACTCCGGATCTTGTCTACAAGCTAGCCTTTCAAGCATCCACCATGAGTCCGCTTCTTGCCGAAGGTAGAACGTAGCCAACTCCACCTAGTGATCCTTCGGGCACTCCACTACCTCAAAGATCTTATCAAACATCCGGATCCACTCATCCAGCGCTGCGGGATCTTCCTCACCGGCGAAGACCGGAGGACGGAGACTTGAAACTTGGTGCACTACGTCGCGATTCTCATTCTGAAGAGGGTGGTTGTTGTTGAGGAGGGCGTTGCTCAGCATCTGGGTGACTTGCGTCAGTTGATGAAGGCTTTTAGCTAACTGCCCGTTGGTGGCAGCTTCTGAAGACCTTGCACGACGTCTCGATGGTGCCATCCTTGACTTCTACAGAAACAGCACGATAACGGGAGGCAACTTAGGGCCCGCACCCTTACCTGCTGCCTTAACTAAAGAAAACCAAAGCTTAAAAAGAAAACAAAGCACAGACAACACAACAGAAAACGATATAAGAACTTACAACCTCACCACGCGTCCTATAAGTCCTAAGTCCTAAATTCTTAGATACTTAAAGGTCCACTTAGGGTCTCAAACCACACTTAGCCTCTTATAAAGTCTAGACTCTAGCATCCTAGGCTCAAACCTATGCTCTGATACCAACTATAACTGTGACACCCCGTAAATCCAAATTCCACTTAAGGATTAATTAAGTAATTAATCCTAGCTTAATTGATAATTTAATTCCTAAAA